GGGGGGGTAAAGGTTTCGTTATTCTTGTACATCATTACATAGCACAGAATGCGAAAATCGACAAACCAAAACAGCATGATTAAATCAATGGTCCTCAAAAACTGCGACACGCTGGCCAGATCCTGCCCACTAGGGGTCCTTAACCCATCAGCCGTATGGGCACCTATGGAGCAGTGCAAACCAAAAAAAAAGGAAACGCAGACATTGACCATCTATATGCCAGGCCCATTCTTCCCATTGAAATGCTACGCAGACATTGACCATCTATTTGCCAGGCCCATTCTTCCCATTTTCTTCCACCACAAATAAGATATGTGCAGTGTACACAGACATTCGTTCATATATTTTTTGGTTAATGTATATTCCGGGCCTAAACAAAGTCAGAGAGACAGAACCCCCCCCCCCCCCCCCCCCGCTTAAAAAACTTGAAGACACCTGCCCCACAAAAGGACTCCTGGCCTACAAAAAAAAAAATGAACCTTTTCATCCAACTTTGGGTTGCTGGTTTTTTCAAATAACCGACTGGGTTTACAAGACGTTGGCTTTTCGGAAGGAGTTACGTAGTCGTGTTTTGCTGCAAAACAATGTGGGGATGGAGGAGGGAAATGATATCAAGATGATAACAAACCAAATGTTACGGCTTTAGTATACAACTAATGACAGGGAATGATAAAAGTTATTGTTATTTATATGTGTCTCAAGACCTTGGCGCAATGGTTTGGAGGAGGGGGGGGGTGCTGGAACCTTCACGAGGTGCACGCAGGACCTTGTGAGGGAGGAAAAAGGGACACCCGGCCCGGGCGCCATCATCAGAAGATGTCAAAAATGTCCTCATTTTTTATGCAAAATGTGTTTATTGATATAATCTTTTTGCGTAAGGGGTGCCTAAATTTACTTTTTTTTTCCTCCTGGTCCAGCTTTTACTTACCATGGCTTTGGACACACATCAATATTAAACTTTAAATAATGCGCAGTCATTTACTAATACCAGAGCCGTTCTTATGAGTTTGGGGGCCCTAAACATGGAGCGTAGGTTTGGGGCCCCGGAAGGTGGGGTCCAGAGGTGGAGCTCCCTCGAGCTGATGAGAAAACACCACACACCACTGCAGCACCTCCATTCTGCCTTCATCAATGTTTCCTCTTTCCCATTCCCACGGCCAAGCCCCCGATTTCCTGTCTGCCACCCCCAAAGCTCCCCCCTGCTGCTTCCCTTCCCCTGCTGCCGAATTCAACTCAGAATGATAAATTTCAGGATGAGGAAGGTAACGTGAGTGACACAGACGGCTGCAGTGCCAGTTTTAAAAGAAACCTGGGGATCGAGGGCGCCTGACGGGGGCGCCCTCACGTTCGGAGCCCTACGCGGATGCGTAGTCAGCGTATGCCTAAGAACGGGCCTGCTAATACGTTGATCATCGTTTTATCATGGACACAATAATTAACTTTTATTTTTAAATCATTCAAACAATATCACATTTAAATAAATCCATCCAATTAAAGGCGGTAGTGGTGAACGAATACCGGCTGAAGACAGAAGTCATCATCGTCAGTGGCGCTACAACCTATGTAGGGCCCTGGCCTGCTCCACCACATCCTTCCATTCAGATCGATCCATGGTTTTTTCAGCTCCATACGCGGACCCCCAGCTGTTGTGAGCCCTTCTCTACATCATCATTATATCTCAGTCTTGGTCGACCGTTGAGCCGCCTGCCCCTAGGTTTCTGCCAGTATATCACTTTTGCTGCTCGACAATCTGGCATCCTCTCCATGTGTCCTGTCCAGCGCAGTCTGCCTTTCTTTTTTATTGTTGTGACTAATTCTATTAGTTTGTACGGCTCCTCCAACCCCCAATGCCTATCATCGGACCATATATTTTCATAAGAATTCTCCTCTCCCATGCAGGTTCTCTCCTTTTTTTTTTTTTTTTTTTTTTTTTTTCTTTGTTTTTTTTTTTTTTTTTTTTTTTTTGCGTGTGTTGTTGTTGTTTTGCATAAATTAGAACTGCTTTATGATAGTTGCTTATGTGGCCTTCTTTGTTCTACTTGATAGGTTTTGCTTCTCAGCAGCTTAGTGAAGATAGAAGGTCAAGGTTAATTCCTTTTTTTTTTTTTTTTTAGAAATATTTATCTCTGATATTAATTAGGCGATATTAAAATTTAACAGCTGCTTGGGGTGATATAAGGAACGAGAGAATGTCTCATCACAATATTGGATGTGTGATTAGATGCGAGAGAATGTCTCATCACAATATTGGTCATTTAATTGTGTGTGATTAGATGCGAGAGAATGTCTCATCACAATATTGGTCATTTAATTGTGTGTGATTAGATGCGAGAGAATGTCTCATCACAATATTGGTCATTTAATTGTGTGTGATTAGATGCGAGAGAATCGTCACGTGACAATATTGGTCATTTAAGTTTATATAATTTAGAGAATATATTATGCTATTCAACATGGCCTAAACTGTTATAAGTAACTTTGAAATCCAGTATTTGGTAATATATTTGGTCATGTGTCAAGTTATGGGGGCAGCAGGATCTAATGTGATGGGAGTCAGGGACGGTGACAGTGATTGGCTGAAACTTTCATCATATTGCTTGTTTGTTTACCGGTAGCCTACTTGTCAGTATGTAAGTCTTCTGTTGACTGCAACAGGACATCAGATACCACGTTATGTTTGTTTACTTTCCTTTCAGCTAAAGATGGTAGACGCTTTTTAACAAAAAACATAAATTGTATATTGTATTGCTATTCTTGTAGCTGAGTTTAGTAAATACGACACAGGTGATGCATGATATTGTATGTCGTGTCGCGTAAACTACTTCCTAAACCCACTAATCACAACACAATTAATTTTCCTCCGCCTCAGCGTGTCATCCATTGCTTCTTGGCCTTCCACATACGTGACACTTGTACTCTTAAGCTCCAGACTGTATGCACACAGAAATGTTTTTACCGATCAATATTTTACAAATTAAGACAAAAATGATATTCGAAATATTTTTAAAGGCCTACATTATATAGTCTAACAGACCAAACGCTCTATCTAACGATTCGTTTTTTTTAAACCATTAAGAAAAGAATCTTATTTAGCGCAGTTATCGGCAATTTTTATTTCGTCAAATCATTGTCATCATGGTCCCTTCATCTTCCCTCTGACAAACAGCAAAAAACTGATTTTAGGGGGTTGGGGCTGAAAATTTTATAGAATTGTGTTGTCTTCGGCATCGAGTCTATGTGCCAAGTTTCAGCGCGTTAGGTTGACCGGAAGTGGGTAAATTAGCCCTTTGAAGATTTTGCTCTAAACACACAAAAGCGAAGTTAATATAAAGGATTTCTATTTATTTATTTTTTTTAATCTTGAGACTTGAATAATGTCTTACACTTTATTAGTCTCCACGTAACGTAAATAACATATTTGTTAGTCATTATTTCATTTCATGACATAGACAAACCCAGGTACCGGGTATGTGTACATGTGTTTATGCATTATCTCAGGGACTTTCATCCCCTGCAAGTTCAAAACATTTAGTTGTATGAAGGCGCAGACAGTTCATAATTGATACGAAAGGATTCTTTAAATGAGTCACTGAACATCATTTATTGTTTTGTTGTTGTTTTTTTAAACTGTTTAAAGAAGTTATAGGCCTACCAAGATTATTAAGTAAAGACATCGCGCCCGTCTTTTGAAGACGCACAGTTTACCATGCAATGGTTCTCAACCTTTTTTAGTGTAGCAAAACAACAAAAATGTGGAACCTTCTAAATATATTGCCATGTCTAAGCCCCACCTACTACAAAATCATGTGATACTACACCCAGGGTTGGATGGAACAGCAGCGACCAAGGCGAAGCCTGAAATTGCGTCCCCTCATTGTCTAGAATAAAGAGCCAACACGGGCGGGGTAGTGCAAAGACAATTTTATCAATCCATGTCTTTGTGCTGTAGGCCTACATGGGATTTTATTTTTATTCACTATTAATTAAAGTCTTATCTAAAGATGATATTGACCACACACCCCCCCCCCCCTTTGAATGATGCTGGAGCACAGGGTGACTTCCCCCTTCACAAGGTCCCGACTATACTCCCAGTGGTGAAACTATAACGTAAAACCAAATAAATTTAGTTTCTTAAATGGGGCACATCTGATCCCCTATTATGAAGGGAGAGTGTTGTTTTGGTAAGCAGGCACACCTTCCTACAACAAATGCCTTGCAACAGATGTTGTGTGGACGATATTCAGATACTTTTTAAAAACATCAACCAGCAAAATGATGAAAACAATTTAATTCACTGTACAAGCAGTCATGCCATAAGTAAAAGATACACTAATACAGTGACCTCATGTAATCCAAGACTGGGGCAGACATACCGTACTAAAGTTTTATTTAATGATTTAAATAATTAAACTAAAATCACTCTTTTCTTTAATATAAATATATATGAGATATTATTACTCTGGTCATATAACGCATCAGTAGTGTCCAATCGATGATAATCAACTGAGAATATATGTTAAATGAATTTTAAATGAAAATTAGGTAAATAAATGATTCAATACTACATAGTTTTTTTTAGCTACTTACATAAAACTTGATGCTGTACCTTTTTCAATACCTGAACAGTGAAGCATTATTTCTTTAAATAATTTACTTTGTCATGAAATTGCAAATTAGCAAATATGCCACGGCCACATGCAATCAGAATGCCCATTATTTGTTAGCAGAATTTATAAAAAATGATCCATTAGATTAAACTCCTTTTAGCAACACCAAAGATGACAATTACAAATAAATTTTCATTCAGAAAGTGGTATGGCAGAGTGAATAGTTTAATATAACAAGCAACTTTCCAACATGACGGACATGTATTACAACAAACAATGAGCATTTCAACAATTCCCAGCTGTTGTCAAAAATAAAAAGAAGAACAAAAAAATATTGACAATAATCATACTTATTATTACTGAAGGTTCAAAATTCATGGTGCATTTGATGCATTAATTTATGCGTATGTAAAAAGACAATATATTTGAAGTTCCGTGGAGAAGTTTAAATTAGGGCCTTCTAAACACATGTTTCAAATCCTTTTATCAACAGAAAGTCACATACATTTTGCAATGAATAATCACAACTTTGATTGATCCAGAAATTAATTCTAAACATAACTGAGCCATTGTAAATAACGTAGATAACAATTTAGGCATATATGCTCATATGGACATATGTGGACCCTTACAATTTTTTTTTTTAAAAACTGTTTATTATTCCCAACCGTTGTCAGCCCTGCTCATTTTACTAAAATGTTGTACCTCGGCCTCTTATGCAGTGTTTTGACACACTTTTTGTAAAGTTTAAAGATAAAACATTATTACAGCCTTTAAAAATCATCAGAGCAGATTATAAATTAAGTTGAAATCAGTAAAGTATAAATAAATGTTACATTTTTTTCTTTTTACATGTTTTGTATGATCCAAATAGTTTTTTTTTTTTTAAACAAACAAATCATTCTTTTAAAGATTGCACTCTTGCAGAAAAAATAACATTTAAGTTTAAAATTTAAAAAATCTCATTTAAAATATGGTAGGAGAAAAATGTACATATACATATTTTTTAATTTACATATTAATTTTAAGGCAAGATGCCAAAGAGGAAAGAAAGATCAGCCCACTGATAAAAAATGATGCTCAGTATCAATTGCATTGAATCAATTTTGAAATATGAATTTCAACATCAAAAAAGATGTAAAGTGTACAGGGAAGGTTAAATTTTAATTGTACAATTTTTTTTTTTTTATTTTCAATGCAACTACAATCAAAGGGGCAGCCTACAAGAAGACCAATCCTTAAACAGTTCTACACAAGAAGGTGTATAGTGCATTACATGAATAAGAAATTCATATACATAATAAAGTAAAATAAACTTTGGATTAAACTTAGAAAAACAATGAAAATCAGTTTTAAACCTAAGATTAAGATCTAAGTTCGATTTAATATAAAATGCATTATTCCATAAACTCTTACCATGTACCGGTACATAATTTTTTTTTCTAAAATGTAGCTGACAAAATTTAAATACCACACACAAAAATTATCTTTTTTTTAACTACTTTCATTTTAAGTTAGTACAATTTGTGATCATGACTGTAACATTTTTAAGATGATGCTGATTTAAATATTTCCTATTAATCATTAAAGAGTTGACTCTGATCTGTGACTGAAATGTAGGAATAACCAATATTAAATATGAGTGTAATGCACGAGATCAGCGTTTCTCAACCTGCAGATCGTGACCCTTTTGGGGGTCACAACTACCCTTTTCACACGTGTTGTCTTAAACCATCGTAAAATACGTATTTATGAAGAAGCCAAAAATAAAAAACTGTATTAAAGGGGTGTGGAATTAGGAAGGTTGAGAACCACTGCATTAGATTTAAAAAAGTAAGAGAACAGTTATGTTTCTTTTTAAGATTTAGAAAATTTTTGGATTATAGACAATTCATATCCTACTGTTATAAAATGTTAAACTATAATAAACAATCATCACATACCATTAGCAGAAGACATCATGATTTAAAATCAATATAAATTTTCTTAAATGTGCAAATATCTTTAAGACTGGAGCAAGTGTGTTGAATAAAAATATTAGTACTTAAACGTCATGGAGTTTTAAAAGTTCTCTAATGTTTTTTTAGGAAGTAGAATTATTTTCATTCACTCTAACTAATACTAATATGTACTCAGTGCTGTAACCATGGGGTACGACCTCTATTGAGGTTGAATTGCTTTTGTCTCATTGGAAGCAGCCAGTGCTTCCCAAAATGGTGGTAGCTGACTGGCACCAGTCTGCAAGCCATCGGTTTGCCAAAACTTAAAGTTTGGGAAACACTGGGCTAGGCTATGTAAAACATCTGATTTGATTTATGATACCATGAATTGAAAGGAAAGAAACTTCAGATTTATAAGTATACAACTTTTAAAAAATATTATTGGGTTTGATTTAATTAGCCCAACTCTACTTACTGGAATCTAGTTTAGAAACAACAGGCAGGATTTGGGAGCTACTCTGAAGTGAAAAAAGTGGGAGGGCGAGCTACCCCATAGACATACCCAATATTTAACTCATTCAAATTCGTGTGCTTAGAACCCTTCAAGTACAATTCTGTGCAAGTAGGGACTCTATTTATGTTTGACACCCTGTACCTTTTTTTCCCCTCTGGGTAGCCTATAGATTATATATACATAGGGGATGCCATCATTTGAGTTCTGTAGACCAGAACTACCATGACAGCATCTTAACCAAGTTATTTGTTTTGATCTTTGCATCCCGTTGCTATATCATCCTTCTTTCATAAAGAGGAGGGGATTGTAGTTTAAAATATTAACTTCTGGCTGTAAAAATTAGAAAGTATTTTAAATTTCTTTTTTTGTTTTTTTGTTTTATGGTGTTCCAGTCCACCAAAGCAAGGGTACAAAGACTTCTTACACAGCTAATGTTAAAATAAAAATGACAAAACAATTATCTTCATTTACCATAAGAGAAAGCAGGAATTTAAAAAAATTGGAATAGAAGCAATCTTAACAAATTTAATTTAGGCATTGCATAATGACTATTGATAAATTGAGTACGGTACACAGTGTGTCTTGGTGGTAACAATTAAAATCAAACTGATGATAGTGATGTAGGCCGAATCAAGCCAGTGGTTTCCCCAACAGGGTTACGAACTGGTGCCTTGCACATGGGGCAATTGTTCTTATGCTCTAGCCACTGAAGTAAGCACCTGGAGAAAAGATGGTGAGACACTATTGTTATGGATTAATGCAATATAGAATTATTTAATATAGCTTTTTACAAATGTTCTGCTGTTTAAAAGTTTATTGACAGCCACAAGTTATTGATTGGTAAGTAATCAGTAAATTTAAAGGAAAATCTAGTAGTAAATTTTATACACTATTTTTATAAGCCATGACTCTGACTTCTCTGACTTACTGTTATATCTATATTTTGAGTTATATTAAATTTCTGAATGATATTTCCCATTCAAAAATTATTTGTCCAAATTTCATGGCTGACATTTTTTTAAAAATCATTTCTTAAAAAACTCCTTTTTGAAATACAGTACAAAATCTAAAAAAGGATGATATTTACTTGGAATGGAATCCATGTCGACATGCACAGACAGCTATTTTCTCCCCTGGAGTGAACTCTTCAAGACATACTGGACAAATCTGTAAAAAAAAAAAAATCAAGTCTCAAATTTGCTCATTTTATTTAATTATTTCAAGTTGCTTTGTACCTTAACTTGTTTAATTAATAATGTTTACATTATAATTAGCATCAAATAAACTCTATTCCAGAAGTAAATAGCAGACAGTGACGCCAGCTGCTTCAAAGTTTCAGACCAAGAAAGTATATCCTCTTATTACTCACTAAAAAAGCAAGTTTCCTTAAGTTTCTCCTGACCAGAGGAGTTGCAGATTACCCCTATAGTAATGTGATAAAAGCACAGTCTTGTAACGCCCCCTTCAATGTGTAATTTTTATTATAATTCAGAATCCTACAATTCAATCCATGTCTCTAATCAATGAGCAATAGGGATTGTCATTTAATGGCGGAAATCTATTAATAGAACCGCTGTAATCATCCAGGTACTCAGGTCAGACAAAATGTCAACTCAGTACTACTATTTTAGCGAAGAGGCCCTTAACCTAAATCAAAACTTGTTTACAACTATATTTTACTAAATATTTTTACTCATTTTTTACTGCTTTTTTGTGAAATGGGTCTTCATTGAGCATACGGCACATGTAACAGGGACTCTAGCTACAAGGATCTTCCGAACGATATGCTGAAACACACTTATAGCTGCCATGTTTTAAGAAATATTTGTCCGACGTTCTAAAAATAGTAACGCCATGACGTTTTCCGGTCTAAGAAATGACAAACCCTATAGCTGTAATCACAATACTTGTACACCTAACCAACTATTGAGACATCCCTATAACTATACCGCCTCAAGTAAACATAACTACAAAAAAATTATTTTGTTTAAATACAACTAAACAAGTGTGATACAGTCATAAACAACTCACATCATTTTGTTGCCGTTTATCCTTTACAGTAAACTTCCTCTGCAGAAAGAAAGGGAATTTTCTCTAATATATTTCAACCATCAATGAAGCATTATTTAATATTCCGCTATAAAGTAATGCGTTTATTTTAATTACAGTATTCTCACTTTCTGTAAGTTAAACTTAATGATGGAAGTCTCAAGCAAGGCATATTTAAAACAACTCACTGTAACATAACCTTGTTCATCACGCTGACCATTCTTCTTTAATCTGATTAGAAAATAATTGACAAACGATCTTATATTTCAGACTTTAAATTTTAGTTCACCCACATTGTACAAATAATGAATTTAATTCTAGATACAGAACAAAATAATTGCAACAAAGTTCAAAAGTTACCGAAAAGAAATATAGCAATTATTCTAATCAAAAGCTTGTAACAAAATATGGTAAGTTCCAATTATTAGTACAATTAAAATTATGATAAACAAAAGCAAGTAATTTTTTTAATGTTATTTTAATATATCGTGGTAAGTTCTGATCATTTTTTTTAATTTAAAAAAATGGAATGAATACGAGAGAAATAAATATATTTTTTAAATTTATTAATGAGATTTTATGAGATTAAACTGATTTTTTTAAATGTCTTTTTCTGCAACTGCGTGCCTTTAAATTGTCTTACCTCCATAGATAGCAGCAGAAGCAGAAACTGAGCAAAAGAGTGAAAGCCCCCACACCCAGAAGTGGCAGCGAGACGTTGAAAGGAACACGTTCAACCTCCATCCAACTCACAAACTTTTATCATTGTTGAAAATTCATTGGGAATCAGCAAACTGGATCAAAATGTCAAAATAAAATTTAGCAAATCTCACTAAGACTCCACACTGTTAGTTCAAAGCATTTTCTTTACTACCGGTAAAATTTGCATAAATTTATGTTGTTTAAGCAGTAAAATAATATTGATATACTCTCTTAACCTCCTATGCACATATTTTATTCACAGTGTTAGACATGCTTTGAAATGAAGTTTAAAACAATGTAACACAAAAAAGCTACCATGAATGCCAAAGAGTATTATTGACATAGAATTGTAATCTTGTAATTGGAACTTCAAGTATTATCTTTTCCAGCATGAATTCTTTGTACATAGACACTCAACAAATTGTCTCCCTTAGGCTGTCAAACAATTCATTTTAGTCACAAATCAAAACATGAAACATGTATATACTGATGTACGTGTTATCTGCACATTCAGCATAATCAACAAAAATCTGTTGATTTTTTTTTTTTATATACCAGGTAACGTCATACAATTAAATCCCATAATTTACTCACACCATTTCCTATATATATAACTAAAAAACCAGATCATAATTATTCAAAGTTTAAACAAAATATTTTAAGGTTAAAAAGCCAGAGATGGAAAAACAAAAGAAAGGAGGTTTTTCGTTTAACTGATGGAGAGAAAAAGTGGTTGAGAACATAACATGAGATGAAAAAACATGTATCTGATTATTTGATGAGATTACATATGTTTTCATAGTAAAAATAAATTGTATTTGATACAACATAGTTCAGTGAAATCAACTCTCTTAATGGTTCTTATCAGATTAAGCTAGAAAGACCTTCATGAAAGATGAAGGTGGTGGCTAGATTCTTTTTGCAAATTAAAATTTATATAAATTATATTATAATACAAAAATTTGAGATAAGTTTATCCCCCTCCCCCAATAAAAGTCCCTCAGTATCTTTGTCCCAGTAGGTGCTAAATCACGGCCATATGTACAGACATAAAAAAATGTTCAAAGACACTATGACAATGATTTCTTCTCACCAGGAAATAACACTTGCAAAAGTAATTGATGAAATTTTGTCCCCTTTAAAAATATACTAAATTTAATTTATCATCAAAAAAATCTTGGAGGACTTAATATCTAAGGATTAAAAATAGAGTATAATTATTTTAATTAAATTAATAAAAAAAATTCACACATTATAAATAAAGTTATTAAGTTTGTTAGGCTAATGCTAAATTTTAAATGTTAGACTAGTAATTTATTTTTATAATTTTTATTGCAAAACTGGATTAGTGGTATAAATAATAATTGATTTGATCATTTAGATTCATTGAATTACAATTAATAAAATTTATAATGAATGTTATAAATAGAACTGTAAGACAGCAAATAATAATAATAATAAAGTTTATGTTTTAAAAATCACGCTTCATCCCCAAAGGCTCGAAGCGAGGTACAAAGTCAGTCATATTAAAAAAGAAATGAAACAATCTATATTTTACCACATTAAAACACAAAACGCAACACTACAAAAACTACAAACGAGCATACCCGTTAAAAGTCTTTCATCCCGTTCAACTATAAAAAACACAAGCCAATATACATCTAGGAGATGATAGCTAGCTGGAAAAAATGGTAGACAACATCACCCCAGCAGATGTTTGCGAAATAGATATGTTTTCAAATCGGTTTTAAAGGATTCCAGTGTCTGGCTGTTTCTGAGAGCGACAGGAAGGGTATTCCAAATTGTTGGGCCAGAAAGTGTGCCTTCCGTAAGTCTCATGGTGAACACGCTGTATCAAGAGTTTGCCTCTCTCGGATGAGTGGAGTTGTCTACTGGATACATAAGGTGTCATGAGCGCTTTGAGATAGGATGGCGCCAGGTCATGCAAGCAGCGGTAGCACAGAGTTGCAATTTTTTACGCTATGCGAGCAACGGACCGGCAGCCAATGCAGCTCTCTCAGAAGTGTTTTAGCATGGTCAAATTTGCGTTTGCGAAGAACAATGCGAGCCGCATTATTGTGCGCTTTTTGTATTTCATCCAGGAAGACCCACCATGAGAGCATTGCAGTAGTCCATGCACCATAGCACGAATGCAGACATCAGTCTCTTTCAAACGTTAAGAAAGGTCTGATATGACTAATTCTGCGCAGCTCTAGAAAAATCGCCTTGCAAAGCATGTTAATAAGATTTTCCATAGTTAGTGTTCTGTCTAAGTAGACACCAACATTTCGCACTGTTTGAGCAAAATCAATCTGCACACCTGAGAGAGTAAGGGATTGTGCGTTATTTACAGATTTTAGCTTTTGAGCAGTAGCAATGGGGATCAGCTCGGTTTTTTCATCGTTCATTGCCATCCAGTGCTTAACTGACTCCTCAGTCTTCTGCATCATACTAAGAAGCTTAGGGAACTGAAAGGGGATCACGGATTGCTGAAGTTGAATATCATCTGCAAACATGTGATATAGCATGTCAAACTGCTTGATCACTGAACCAGGGGCTGAACGTACATAGTGAAAAGCAACGGGGGTACTCTGAATTCGATAATAGATTGCCTCGAGATTAAGCCGTTTACGATAACTGATTGGACCAGATTTGTCAGATACGAGCGGAACCATCTCAGGACTTAAAAATAATACACAAAAAAACGCACTACAACTAAAAGGTAGAAAATAATTTATAATTAATGGGACTAAAGTGTAATAATTAATAATTGATATATAGGCCTATGAATACTTTGATGACTTATATTAACTTATACACTTATAATTATAACAATTTTGTAAATGTACCAATTTTAATAACATTATCCTGCATATTGAATGGATATCAATGTAGGTTATTATCATGATTTTATTACATTAGTTCAAAAATTTTGCCTAACAATGGCCTAAAATTGGCCTACACAAGTGCCTACACAGGCTAAAACATAAGAATAATAATATACAGTGACCATTTTTACTGATTTTAGCAGGACATTAATGGTTTTGGACCATTCATTGTCCTGAGGTTGTTTTTTTTGCTGAAACCAGTACAGTTTTGGACACAACAAAAAAAATGTATTAAAACAATTTAAATTATCAAAACATTGCGTACACTCTATCTTATGTCCAGGCATAATAAATGATGCAACTAAAAGAACAAAAATTAATCAAAATAAGCTTCAAAATAATATATTTTTTCAAAAGAAGGCCTCTGACACCAGACAGAAGGTATACTCTCCATGACATGAGCATGTAGGCCTAATCAGATCAGTAATAATTCCAAATAATTAAGCACTATTACTATTGTCAATTGTTGTGGGGGTTTTTAGATGCAAAAATATTTCAAATGTCCTGGTTTTAAATGTGAAAATTTTAAAATATCCTGGTTTTCAGTTTGAAAAAAAATTGTCACCTTTCATCTCATGCAGTAATAGTAAGTGTTGAATTATAATTTAATTAAATAATAATATTAAATATAATACTAAACTAATACTAACCACTGGCAGTAATTAACCAGTAATTTATTATATTATATCTATACAGGCTACAGCATAAACTTATACTTATACACTCATAGTCTGTAGTCATAGTCATAGTATAGTTCATTTTAATTTACTGAACTGTACTACAAGTCTACAAGTGAATTAATTAATGTCTTAGACAGTCTAGTAGTTTTTAGTTTTAGGTAAGTCCAAGTAGGCCTACTTGAATTGTAGAAAATGAGTAGTCACTAACATAACTAACTACGACGTAGTAATTAGTACTAGTCTAAGTTACTTAAATACTAATACTAATACAAAGAAATAGCTTTTACTTTTACTTTGAGTAGTATAAGTTCCACGTCCACATTATTAGTATTATTAGCAGTAATAAATTAACTAAGTCAGTAGCACCTGCCCTGGGTCTACTACTACTAATTATATTTTATATTATTTTTAATTTTTAGTCCTCTCTGTCTCAGGCTGTCAGTGTCAGGCTCAGCCTCTCTACTCAAACGAGGCATTATTATTATTAAAATTTAAAAAAATGATTATGATTATGTGGCTATGGCATTCAGTATTCATTAAGTATTAATAATTAAGGACCTAATTAATTCACTTTTCTTTTGTGTACTTAAAAAACGTGTAACACAATAAGGCTCCATGACATGAAAAATATTTTTCAGAATTGAAACTCTTACCAATAAAGTAAACAAATAGCTTGTGACATAACAATAATAAACTTTAAGGTCGGAGGTCAAAATATCAGTTTTTTTATCAACTTCCGTTACGTTTACACCGAAAGAAAAAAAAAGTGTGGGGGGGGGGGGTTTGTTGATTAAGAAGGTTTTGCGATGTCTAAATAAATTAAGCCACCCCTGTCTCAGGGTCTGTCACCTATGAAATCCATGTTTTCTAATTATTTTATTAGACAGGGATTTTTTTAACAACTTCCTTTACGTTTCAACCCAAAAAAAAAAAAATTGGGGGGGGGGGGGGGTTTGTTGATTAAGAAGGTTTTGCGATGTCTAAATAAATTAAGCCACCCCTGTCTCAGGGTCTGTCACCTATGAAATCCATGTTTTCTAATTATTTTATTAGACAGGGGCTAATATATATATAATTTTAATTAATCCCCTTAAATATCACGTCACAGAACTCTGCACGTCCAGCTGGGGTTCGTCTATAAAGAAAAATAAATAAATAAATAAAAATTAATGTTTTTGTTAACTCAATGTTTCTAATCATTTAATCATTGTTATTTTAATGTTAATTTGTAAATGACTGGGCGGTTTTAAAATGTTTAAGAAAAATATTCCTATGCAAGTGGATTGACTTTTTCTCGACAAACTTTCCTGCGGGCGCCCATGGTTGTTCAGCTCTAGTTTGATAGATGGCACTTAATTATTTAGATGCCACCTAAGTGGACTCTGGTTTGTGGTGAGTAAAATTAGAGGCAGTGTTAGTGTTAGTGATTTTATGTATCTGGATGGAACCAAATTGCTCTATTATTCATCTGTTTGCAATGGTGTTTATTTCGCTACTGACATATATTTCATTACTTTCCCGCTTTTCGCCTCTTAGTCTTAGTAAATCACCAGCTATTTATTGAGAAAGAAATCGAAACTGTCACAAATTTTAAGACAGGACATTGACAATTTTATTTAAAGTTTTAACAAATATTTCCCTCACTCATGGGCGCCCGCAGGTAGGGCAAGGGGGGCACTTGCCCTCCCCACTCCCCCCTGGATTGATTGGATAAAAAAATTAGACAAAAATAGACCAAAAATGTATTAAAGTAAAGAGAAAATAAAGAGAAAGTAACTAAGCTGATGTCCTGTCCGTTCGTTCACCATACACATAAGCTACAGTAAATTAAAACTATATTAAAACATTACTAAAAAAATTTTGCCCCTCCCCCCCTCTCCCTGGAAAGTAAATCAATTTTTGCCCCCCCCCCTAGAAAGTTTTCTGCGGGCGCCCATGCCCCCACCCTCAAAATTCGAGCCGCATTCTGTCCGGAATGGATGCACAAAAATTTAAAGGAAAAGCAGCGCCCTGGGCGAATGCGCCCCCTGATATTGAGGTCCTTTGCGAGTACCGCCTTTACATTGCTGTGCATGGATACAGTGGGCTAGTATAGGCCAAAACGTGCCAAAGTGTCCTCGTTTTATAACCATTTTAATTGTTTCTTTAGTATAGTAGTTACTATCCTAGTGTCTCATTTTTATTTTACTTAGTTTACATGTTTTTAATAATTGTAAAGCGCTTAGAGCTTTAAGGTAAGCGCTATATAAAAATGCCTGAATAAATAAATAAATATCAAAGTAGATAGATATATAAAATGTTTAAAAAAAATTTTAAATCTAAATATATCCAATCGGGCAACTTTTATAACGTATCTTTGAAGACAGAAGAGTTCTCCATGTTTTTCCCACAATGGCGTCGTAAATGACAAAAGATTCATGAACTGTAGGCTACCTTTTTTTTTTATCTTGTTCAATTTTGTTAAATGGATATTGTACAAGAACAAAAGGACTATTTTAGGCCTTTAGTTCCATCAGCTGAAGAGGAAGTTTTAATTTTATATCACTAGAAATAATTAATCGTGCTTAAATTTCATACTTAAGGCAAGGCCTTCTTAAGTCTTAAGCCTTGGCGCCTTAATTTTACCTTACCACCCGGCACATGTTTTTATATTGTTGCTTTACTTTTAACTTTTACTTTACCCTTTACAGTACTTTACTTTTCCTAAATTAGGCGTGCTAGAAGGCTGGCACATAATTCACATGGGGGGGGGGGGGGGGGGGATTATATTTATAACATGCTAAT